TCACCATGCGGATTCAGGAAGTTGCCGACGAACTTCGTACCGAGTTCCAGGAAGGAATTCAATCTGTTCGTTCTGATTTGACTCAGAAACTTGATCAATTGACGGAATCGGTGCTTAGCCTCGATGTCCGATTACGGGAATTCATGAATCGAAACCCATCCTCTACTCCAACCAGTTCCAAACTCCATAGCTCTGTATCTGACGCAAATGGTTCCCAATTTCGGGTACCAGAAACACCGGAACAAAGGATCTTGAAGTCGGTCAAGGTGGAGATTCCTCAATTCCATGGGTCTGACCCAAATAATTGGATTTTTAAAGCAGAAATGTTCTTCCAAATGCAGCAGGTTCCATTGCATATGAAGGTGCAGCTTGCTGGGTTGAAGATGGAGGGCCAAGCTTCCCCATGGTTTCAATGGATGTTCAATACAGGTTCGATTAACCAATGGGACGATTTCATTCGAGCGTTGCGTCAACGTTTTGGTGCTTCGGCTTTTGTAGATCTCAAAGGTACTCTTTCCAAACTTTCCCAATCGAGTTCGTTAATGGAGTACATTAGGGATTTTGAGGCCCTGTTGAACCAAGTCCCTGGTTTCTCTGATGATGTTTTGATAAGTTTTTTCATCTCTGGCCTTCAACCGAACTTGAGGAGTGCTATTCAACTCCAATGGCCCACATCCTTACACCATGCCATGCAGCTTGCATATGCCATTGATACTTACCACGACCAATTACGTTCTTCTCTGTCTTTTTACCCAAAGAAACATGTCCTTACATCATCCACACCAACAACTATCCCTAAACCTAGTCCCAATCCTCCTTATACGCATACACCTAGTCCCAACATACCCAAACCTTTTACACCTCTTGCCTCAAATTTACCAATTAAAAAACTCTCCCCTGAGGAAATTGCAAGAAAAAGAGAACTTGGAATTTGCTATACTTGTGACGAAAAATGGACCTCAAAACATCGATGTAAGTCCAAAATGCTTTTGTTGATTGGTGAAATTGATGAAGACCAACAAGACACGGAAGAAGAAATTCTGTGGTCCCCTGAGTCCAAGGATGACAGTTTGGCAGCTACACTGCATTCCTTAGCAGGTTCTTTTAATCCTAGAGCCTTAATTTTTGATACATGGTTCTGTGGACATAAGGCAAGTGTGCTAGTTGATTCTGGCAGCTCACACAATTTTATAAATCGTGAGTTAGCTCATCAGCTGAATGTTCCTATGTTGCATTCGAAAGGAATGAAGGTGTTCATGGGAAATGGAGATTTTCTGTTCTGTGACAAAAAGTGCTGCAAGGTCACTTTAGTTATCCAGAACCATTCATTTGTAGTTGATCTTTGGGTGCTGGAATTGCATGATTTGAGTATTATATTGGGCATGTCTTGGTTGGAAAGTTTGGGCCAAGTGACCCATGATTATGTTGAGCAATCCATGGAGTTTGTGAAGGATGGCCAGCGAATAAAATTGCAAGGTAATGTGGACTCAGATGATTTTTCCCGAATCAAGAGGGATAAGTTGAGCTCCTGCTGTGTCCTTTCATCCTCAGTTTCTGATGTCAATGAGCAGTTGATTCTGCCTGAATTGGAGGCTCTCAAAGACACACTTTCTGCTGAATTATGGGAGGTACTATACAAGTACATTTTCCAGACTCCTCAGTCATTACCTCCTTTTAGAGGTATGGATCACTCAATTCACTTGATGGAGGGAGCAAGACCTGTGAATGTCAAGCCTTATCGTTTTCCTCATCATCAAAAATCTGAATTGGAGAAACTAGTGACTGATTTGTTATCTGCTGGTTTTATCCAACCCAGCAAGAGTGCTTTCTCCTCACCTGTACTATTAGTCAAGAAATCAGATGGCTCATGGCGCATGTGCATAGATTACAGGGCCTTGAATGCACTAACTGTACCCGACAGGTTTCCTATACCAACAATAGATGAGTTGTTGGATGAATTACTTGGTGCTTCAGTCTTTAGCAAGTTGGATCTTAGAGCTGGATATCACCAGATCCGTATGCTTCCTCAAGACATACATAAGACTGCTTTTCGCACCCATGAGGGACATTATGAGTTCCTTGTCATGCCTTTTGGTTTGACAAATGCCCCGGCTACGTTTCAGGCAGCAATGAACCAGATTTTTCGCCCTTATTTGAGAAGATTTGTCATTGTTTTTTTTTATGACATTCTCATCTATAGCCCTTCTATGATTGATCATTTGTATCATTTAGAACTGACCTTCAATTGTTTGTTGCAGCATAATTTTTTTGTTAAAATAAGCAAGTGTGCCTTTGGTGTTGCTGAAATTTCCTACTTAGGCCATATTGTATGTGCTGAAGGCGTGAAGGCTGATCCAAAAAAAAGTGGCTGCCATGGTAGATTGGCCTCAACCAACAACAATCAAACAAATGCGTGGATTTTTGGGTCTCACAAGCTACTACAGAAAATTTGTAAAGCAATATGCTGACATTGCTTCACCTTTGACTGAAATGTTGAAAGCTGACAAACTGATTTGGACACCTGCAGCAGTTGATTCATTTGCCAAGTTAAAGACTGCTATGAGCTCAACACCAATCTTGGGGCTGCCAGATTTTTCTTCCCCATTTATTGTAGAAACTGATGCATCTATTGTGGGCATAGGGCTGTTCTTATTCAACACTCTAAACCAATCTCTTTTTTTAGCAAAAAGCTTGGGTTTCGTTTATCCAAAGCATCCACTTATGTCCGTGAATTGTATGCCATCACTGAGGCAGTGAAGAAATGGAGACACTATCTCCTTGGAGCCCATTTCATAGTAAGAACTGATCACCAAAGCATTCGGGAGTTGTTGTCTCAGACCATACAGACTCCAGAGCAGCATAGGTATGTCCATAAGCTTTTGGGATATTCATTTACTATTGAATACAAACCTGGCTCCTACAACATTGTTGCTGATGCACTTTCAAGACAATTTGAGTCTGCTGAGGCTGGTTTCTCTTTATCATTAATGTCTGAGCCACAGTTTAGCATTCTGGATCGAATTAAATCAGAAAATTTTTCTGATTCAGACCTACTTGCTATACACCAGAAATTATCTACTGGTGTTTTAGTTGACCCTTTATTTCTGGTTAAAGATGGTATCCTTTATCATCGAGGCAGATTTTATTTGGGATCCCAATCCAGTTTGAAAACAGAATTGATTGAGGAAGCTCATTCTACTCCTTTGGGTGGGCATGCTGGTTCTCTTCGCACCTCTCTGCGTCTCTCTGCTTCTTTTTATTGGCAACATATGAGAAGGGATGTAACTACTTTTGTCCAGCAATGTGTAACTTGCCAACAAGTTAAAACTTCAACTTCAGCACCATTGGGTTTACTTCAGCCTTTGCCTGTCCCTGAAGCCATTTTTGAGGATCTTACATTGGATTTCATTACGGGGCTGCCTATATCCAATGGTCATTCTGCAGTTTTGGTGGTGGTAGACCGATTGTCAAAGTATGCTCATTTTATTGGTTTGGTCCAACCATTTACAGCAGCAATAGTGGCTCGAATTTTTTGTGATCATATAGTAAAATTACACGGTTTTCCTCGGTCTTTGATTTCTGACAGAGACACAATTTTTTTAAGTAAATTTTGGCAGAAATTGTTCTCTTTGAGTGGTACTAAACTCAAAACTAGTTCTAGTTATCACCCACAAACCGATGGGCAAACTGAGGTCACAAACCGTTACTTGGAGCAATATTTGAGGGCTTTTTGTGCTGAACAACAACATAAGTGGTATTCTTTCTTATGTTGGGCTGAGTTGCATTACAACTCATCAGTTCATTCTTCCATTGGAATCTCCCCATTCCAAGCGGTTTATGGCAGGTTAGCACCTACAATTCCTCATTACCCGAGGGGCTTAGTTACTATTGAAGCTTTAGATACACTTCTTTCCCAAAGAAATGATATCTTAGCTAGTCTCAAGGAACACTTGCTTAGAGCCCAGAACAGAATGAAGAATCAAAGTGATAGGCACCGTCGAGATTTGGTTCTTGCTGAGGGTGATTTAGTTTTGGTTAAGTTACAACCTTATCGCCAACTTTCAGTGGTTCGAAGGTCACACCAAAAGCTTGCCAAGAGATACTATGGTCCTTTTACAGTCAAGAAGGTGATCAGTTCGGTTGCTTATCAGCTAGATCTTCCTGCCACATCCAAAATTCATCCCACCTTCCACATCTCCTGTTTGAAACCGTTTCGGGGTAACCCTGATGTTCCCTTCACTCCTCTGCCTGCTATGAGTGTGGATAATAGGCCAATTCAAATGCCTCTTGCCATTATAGCTTCTCGTACACAATCGGTTTCTGGCACTCCTGCTACTGTTCAGCATTTGGTTCAATGGACAGATACTGTTCCTGAAGATGCCACTTGGGAAACAGCTGCTGATTTGCGTTTGGCTTATCCAAGCATAGACCTTGAGGACAAGGTCTCTCAAGGGAAGGAGGTAGTTGTTACAGATACAACATTGGCTGGGCCAACTCATGATGCCATCAGCTTTGGAAGGCCCATTAGGAAGAAGGAAAGCCCAACTTGGATGAAAGATTACAATTGTAGCTGAGTAGTAGATGAAATAGATAAACTCATTAGCTTGTGATTGTATTGTAGCACACATGGAGTAGTTATAGGATGACATGTGGCATTGGTTGTTAGACGGTTAGGAGCATTCGTGTAAAGCATTTGGGTACATATAGATACTGTTTGTACATGCAAAGGATTATCTGAATAAAAACTTGAGTTACCCTTTTCTTAAAATCTCTCCTCTCTTTCCTTCTCTGATACATTTCGTATCACATTGCTACAATCAAAAGAAAAATTGTAGGGGAAAAATTAAAATTTATATTTTATGATAGAGCATCATACAAAATTAAAAATGTGCAAGTAAATTGCTTTTAATATGCGGACAATATTTATAAACTACACATTATCATCAATTTTACTAACAGATGTTCCATTCAGTTGAAAGTGAGGTTACAAAATAAGCTTGACTATCGTAATTCAATTATGCATCCTATAATGTAGAGAGACGCAAGTGATTGTTCAAAATAAAGCTGCATACATATTATATAATGATGGACCTCAAAGAGGAGAGTCAAACAAACAAGTGTATGAATTAGGTAGGAGTGAAGATCATAATCAAGACATTGTCCTTTCCAGAATTCCAAATATTATGCGACAGCAAAAACTATTTTTTCTACTCGAACCGCAGAACTGGTTTCTCTCATGATCTATCTCAAGTAGAAATATCTTTTTGATATAGGAAAAAAAAAAACTCCATATAACATGCTTCCTGCAACTGCAAGTTAATTCGCGATCTACAATAGGATAAATTTCTACCTTACATACTTATCTCATTAAAGCAAATCTAACTTACTTAGAGAAGATACTGAGATACAAATATCATTTGACACCAGAGAAACCTTTTGAGGAACATGTTAAGGAACACTAGCAGTTACAAAGATAAGGATCATTGTCATTCATATACTAAGCTGAACTGATCAAAAACACAGATCAAGAAAGTATAAGCTCACCTTAACAATTTTCTCTAAGCTGAGCAAGAGCTGCAGCAACTTTAGCTCCAACTAGAGCATTATTCTTCACAAGAGCAATGTCTAAAATGAGGTTAAGATTTGCTTTAAAACTAGGTCAAATATTTAATTTGGATCTGACGTTTGCAATCGCATTAAGAGTAGTTTAATTAATTAAAATTTATTTTAAACTATACACTGTTAATGATTGATTTTATTATAATGTATTCTTGAAAAACTTCAAAAGAGGATACTTGCAGCAAGTGAGGCACCTCCAGTCAGGTCATTTACTCTAGCAAGCAAGAAAGGAGTCTCAGCATTTCCAGTTATATTTTTTTCCCTACAAGTAGCAAATATTAAATTAATTTTAAAAAAATCAATCCTAAATGTATGATGAAAGCATTAGTAAACCAGTTAATAAGCAATGTTAATGTACAACTTACATAAGATATCATAATAGATATAGAGGGAGAGTACAAAAAGTTTACCTAGCTTCTTTAAGGGCTTTTTGAATGGCAGATTCAATTATGTGTCCAGAAGTTGACTGCTCCCGAGGAATAGGGACTGCTATCAAAATTCCAGTTCCAAGCTTGAGTTTGATGTTTGCTTCTGCTAGAAGAATAAATATTAAAAGAAGTATATAGATGCTGTGTTAAAACATGTAAATTTACACTGAAAATAAAAAAGAAAAAGAATGTTTTCCTTGCCTATTAAGCGAGCACAGTCTTCAGGGGTATCTACCCGACATGAAACCTGGAAATTATGCAATGACCAAAGAATAGATTGTCAATCAAACTTCATTCTTGGTACATTATACTGTTTACATTCCAATCCTGCATATAACTTTACATCACATCTTCAAATGCATTGCTACTAATGACAGGTGAAAACACGGTCACCAAATCGTGAATTGAATTGCGAATGCAAGGCCTAATTTCAGAATCATGATGAAATGTAATTTGAATGGTAAGATTCATGATCAATTATTAAAAATAACTTAAAAACATTTTTCACATAATGAAACATTACAAACATTTAGATATTAACATTTTTAAAGTCAAATAACTCATTATGTATTTAAAAGATTTCTATCATAGCGGAGCAGTATGTTGCGACCTCAGGCTGCTATAAGATTTCAATTGCGGAGCGTTTTCTGTCGCGGCTGTTCCTGGAAAAATGCTGCCTCCATGTCTACTAATCTGCTATCTAGTTACAGGGGTAAAACCCCTTCTTTACCTCCCTATTTTCTGAGTTATAAAATCTATTATTTTGGATTTTCATGATTTGGCATCATTTTACATCAGAAACATACAGATTTTCTGTTTCAACATAAAAAAAAAACATTTCATAGTGCATGAAAGAAGACAAAGTGCGACCTCTGTTTCGCATCTGGACACTGACACACTGTAGCATTGTTTACAGCCAACCCTGATGTTCTCCAACAGACCCACTGCTCTCTGGCAGCATCCAGGTCTCTGTTCATGCATATTTTTTCTTCCCTTGGTCTTTGTTCACTTCCAGCATTATAGCTCATATGTTTCTGTTCTTTTATTATGTTGTTTTTCCTTCACACTTCACTTTTTTTTTCCAAGTCCTTTAGATTATGAGTTTTGATCATAGTTGTCGGTAGCAGTTAGCGGCCGACCCCAAAAATGGTATAGTGGTGTAGCGGGTAGCGGTATTGCCGCTACGGTGAAGTATTAATTCCACATATATTATACTAACAGTCAAGAAACGAGGCAATACCGCTTTTAGTAGTAATGCTCAAACATAAGAAGTCACACAAAATCAAACACATAATTCCACAATCAATGTCAAATACAAGGAACATAAAGGTAGTGGACTAATGAAGAAAATCATCATCATCTCCGGATTCTCCATCAAATTCCAACATTAGAGTGGTGTAGCGGGTAGCGGTAGTGCTGCTACGCTACGCTGCTACTTTCCGCTACGGCCAATGTCGCGTAGCGTCGCGGTTTGTAGCAGCCGACAGCCGCTACCCGCTACGGTAGCGGTTTAGCGGCGCTACCGGCCGCTACTGACAACCTAGGTTTTGATTATTACTTACGAATATGAATTTACTTTCAGATAATTTTAATTGTGTTAGCATTTATATGTGTATGATATAAATTATTTATCTACTGTTTTAAATCTTTGAAAAAGTAATCATCCCGTTGTTGGCTATCTCACTATAGCATTTTTGGGTAGGTAGCTCTTTGCTGCCATCCGAGATTGATAATTATGGTTAACAAATGAAAACTAAACTTCAAAATAAATCAAGATTCAAGTAACAGTCAACAAAACAAAAATATCTAATTTTAAGGATATTAAAAAGAAGGGGCAAACCGGAACAGTGATAAAGCTGTTCTTTTATGACTGAAAGGTCATGGGTTCGAATCCAGAAAACAGGTTTTTTGCAATTATGCAAGGGTAAGGCTGCGTACAAGGATTGCCTCCACCCCACACTCGCTAGTTGGATTTAACGGAGAGTGATTTTTTTTTTTTTAAGGATATTAAAACGAACAAGAAAAGGGACCAGTAAAATAGGACGCAAGTGGGGCAGCAGGCCAGCATAATGGTCCTCATGTGCAGTGGAGGAGAGGCAGAGGGCAGGAGACCAAGGGAACAGAGTCGGGTTACTTTAAATGGGGGAAGAAAAAATGTTTTGGAACCTTCCCTCATCAATTACAAAAAAAGTATTGGTAAAAGAAAAAAAGGGTCACCCAGGATCCAACTGGGGTTGAAGGCACAACCCAACTGTGCGAGGTCTACATCATAGATGAACGCCAAAAAGATTCCCATCACGATCTGTATCGATTGCATGGTGAATCATCTCAAATAGCATGAATTGAATCATGATTCATATGAATCCAACTACAATTGAAAAGAATTTACCATTTTATGCTTGAATCATCATTTTTGACAGGTTTTCTAAGTTGATAAATACTATAATTATTTCAACTATATATATTAAGAGCTCACCTATTTATTCATTTGTTTATTTCAAAATTTCGCTAGAATGTAGTTAACCAAACAAGGAAGAAGAGGAAAGAGAGTAGTTACATTTCATTTAGATGATAGGAAAAATAAGATTGACATTTAAAGATTTGCCTTCCACTGCAATTACACACTGATGGGAAAAGTAAAACATGATCAAAACATTATTTGATGTTACTTCAAGTATTCAACATATTTAAGAAAGCTTTAGGAAACCCAGTTTAAAATACCTTGCAGCCACTTGATTCTGTGAAAAATGCAGGAAACTCATTGGTCTTGTAAGCAGCAACACAAACTCCCCGTGTTTCCTATGCAAGATAAAAAAAATGAATATAAGCTCCAATTAATAGTGCATAGCTGAACTACTTCAATAATATCAGCACAAAAAGTAAATTGGTACCAGATATTCAAGGGTCCTGGGAATATCTAATATTGATTTTACACCAGCACATATAACTGCTACTGGTGTTCTTCCAAGCTCAGTGAGATCTGAAGATATGTCCATAGCTGCCCAAAGAAAATTGAAAAAAATATGCTAAATAAAAATGCTAGACTTATTTGTAGAAACCCCAATAATAAATAAAAAGCAATTTCAGTTCTTAAAGTTCATAGAAGGCAACAAGAAATTCACTTTTCCAAGATGCAACTCAACTGTTCCATTAAAAAAACAGTTTTGCAGATTGTATTCAGGCAAGCATTCCCATTCTAAGCTTATAAGAATCCCCACAAAATATTGGCTCATTTGGTATTTTTTACAGGCAAGGATCAACTTTGACCTTTATTGACTAGAAAAAATATTAAAAATTAATTAAAGGGCCAAATGTGATTATTGCTTTATTGGTGTGGTTATTAAGTTGCATGACAAAATACAAGAAAGTTATAATAGATATTTTTGGCCTACAAAAAAATGTTTTAAGGTCTCTTATGTGGAAGGTCAAACTTGGTCCTAGTCTCCTAGACCATAACTGTCCATTTTCATTGTTTAACTTGCAAATTTCAGGTCTTTCATGGACCCTCCAAGACAACAATAATACAAAACACATGCACAACAGCACAAGTTGATTCATATGGTTCAAAATTTCAGAACAGAAAATGTTGCATCTTACTAGATTTGTCAGCATTCATCATGAAAAACGATTCTTTATATCATTAAGATATAGGAGGTTAACGTACTATATTCCCCATGTCTGTGCACTCCCCCAATCCCCCCAGTCACAAAGACGGGAATATGAACCTGCAGAAAATTCGAAAAAAAAGTACAGGCAGTAAACCAAAATGACATGAAACAAGAACTTAGAATGAAACAGATCACATTAAGAAACTATGGAGGCCGTATATAGAAAATCACCATAGAAGCGAAAAACATTGTTGCAGAAACAGTAGTAGCACCATTTCCACCACTAGCCACCTAAAAACTACATATGTTAGTATGTAAAATCATAGTGAAACATTGAAAAACCATGAAGGTGCACTGTGGTTGTGTGTGAGAGAAAGGTAAAACAATATTGCAGTAATCATGGAAACATCACTTCAAGAGGTTACTTTGAAGTTTACTATGAACATAAAAAAAACACTAACAAAAATGCATATACCGACAATAATAAATCCAACAACCTGTCAAGCAAAATCTAGCTCATGAAAAGTATAAACATCAAAGTGACTGAACTTAAAATCTCAGACCATTAGTTAACTCAAGATTCAAGGAAACAATCTCTAATGCATGCAAGAATCTATGATATTAACTGAATTCAATTTATCAGCTAAAAGTCAGCCGGAAAAATAGAAGGACCAGCTAGAAGATAATAAAGATCGCTGTCAGCAGAATAGTTAGCATAATTGAAGGCATGTTGACTCAGCATATAACCAAATAAACTACTTATCATAAAGCCGGAATGATCTTTTCATTCATTTACTTTACTCTTTTAAGTTTTAACTATAAGCTATTTTCTGAGCTTCATTTTAGTAACAATTTTAGGTCCTTTATGATAAACATTTATCCCGAAAATCTTCTGTCAATTTTTTTTAACAAATTGTAGATAAAATATAAGTCACTTATGAGACAGCATCCAAGTACATTCTGTCCAATTGTACTATGAACAAGAGGTACATTTTTTGACTTCTTTGGATTAGAAGATTGATAGATGGGTGGGATAGGATAAACTTATAATTCCAGGGAATTCTTGCAAGTAATATATAGTAGTTGCTTACAATTCTAGGAATATACAATATTTTGGCTATAATGGGCTTTCTAGCTTTCTATTTGTAAGGTTTCTAAGGACATTCATATAGACATAAACACACATAAAAATGGTTTACACTGATACCAAAAGCACTCACAACATGTGCAATGTCCCTTCGAGCTGTTTTCTGAGCTTTGGTTCCCAAAGTAGCCAGCCTTTCAAGTTCTTCCATACTTAAACCTATATCCAACATAAAACAAGCAAGCAAAAGAAAAATTAGTCAAATATAAACAAAAAGCAACAACAAAACACATTTCCCATCATTGCAGCAGCAAAGTCAAAACTTAAAACACAAACTCTACAGCTTATCCTTTCAACTTTGATTTGTGAACACATGCGAAAACCACTCCATCATGCTTCATATTACAAGATCCCTTATGCTTGCAACTGAATGGTAAAATATGAAACAGTAATTGAATGCATAATAGGCTAGAGAAAGATGATAATAAAGACCTACACAAGGCGTGCCATCTAAAATTGCAATAGTTGCAGGAACTGCACCGTTCTCTCTCACAATAGCTTCTACCTCTTTTGCGGTTTCCAAATTTTGAGGATATGGCATCCCTACGAAACAAGAGCATGGTGCAAATACTAAGGTTAGGGTTTTGGGGGATGAAATGGAGAATGCATTAAATTATTAAGAATAGGATATAGAAAGAAAAAAAACCATGTGAAATGATAGTAGATTCTAGAGCAACAACTGCACGTCCTAGTGATAATGCTTCAGAAACCTCGGAAGCTACCTTCACTTTGATTGTGTCAACCGAATCCAAGTGTCGCCGGAGAGTGTTTAGTCGCGAGATCGCTGAAGATGCCATAACTAACTACCTGCTTAACTCAAGAGTCAGGAGGAATAGGGTAAATTGATTCATTTGTTTGAAAGACCTGCTCTATAAGGAAGACATCCATTCTGTCTCTTGGCAGTGTCTTTTAAAAGAAATATTGAACAATTTTTGAAAAAAAAAAATGTATTTGATAATATTTTTATTTTTATTTCGAGAATGAGTATTGTGTTTGATAACATAACAAATAATGTAATAAAAAATAATTTCTATTGAACATACAAAAAATTCAGATTGTCGTTTTTCTTTCTATATGGTGGTGGTAATGGTGGTGTGACGACAGTGGCTACGGTGGCGGTGGTGTTGGCATAGTGGTGGTGGTGGCGGCGGCAGTAGTAGTGGCGATGGTGGTGGTGGTGATGGTGACAGCAGTGGCTGCAATAATAGTAGTGGTGGTAGAGGTGGCGATGGTGGTGGCGTGGTGATGGCAGTGGTTGCAATGATGATGGTAGTGGTTGGTAGCTGTGGTTGTGATGGTGATTGTGATGGTATGATGGTGGTGGTGATGGTAGTGGCTGCGACGATGGTAATTGTGGTTGGAGAAGGTGATGGTAGTGGTGGCGTCTTGGTGGTGGAGTGGTGGTGGTAGTGGCAGCATGGTGGTAGTGATGGGGGAGGCAATGGTGATAGTGGTGGTGGTGGTAGTGGTGACAACGACACTGGTGGTACGACGACAATAGTGGCGGTGGTCGTGTCGGGAAGATGGTGGTGGTGATGATGGTAGAGGTGGAGAGTGATTGAGAGATACAAATGTTTCTCATTTTGTGTCCGGAAAAAGAAAACAGATATTTTTTTATTCTTTTTTCTGTTCCCCAGTACAAAAATTAAATTGGTTCATTCCGAGAACAAAAAAATAAATCAGTTTTACCAAACGAGTTTTCTATCCATTTCTATTCCCAATAATAGAAATTAAAAAAAAAATGATTCCGAGAAGGTTATATACATTGTTGTTAAAATCTCATTTTACCACTACGATTTTACGTTTTTACGATTTTTTTCATCAAAACGATTTTACTAATTTTCCAAACGCTTTTACATTTTACGATTTTTTACTCTCCTTCCGATTTTACTTAAGATCTCGATTTTAACAATATTGGTTATATGCACACCCTAAGCCGACATACATGACTTTTGTTAATAAAAAGATGGGAAAAGTTCACCAATAACCTTGTGATATGCTTTAGAATCACCTATACCTTTGTGGATTTTTTTATCACATATATCCCTTAGTTTTTATAAAGTAAAAAACGACAAGGGTATATGTGATAAAAAATATACCTTTTTGCAAACCACAGGGGCATAGATGATTCTAAAGTAAATCACACGGGCATTGATGAACTTTTCCCTAAAAAGAAATATTTCAATTATTTTTTATTTTCTCGTAACTTTTTCTCTTTTCAAGGGTTAATTAATTAAAAAAATACATTTTTAATAAAAATATTATCAAAATGATATATTTGTAAAACTATTTATCTAGATTATACAATTTGACTGCATTTATATCATCTACTCTAACTTTATAATAGTAATATCTTATTCCTACTAGATCATTTATGTAAAAAACACTTCTCCTGTTGTAGGAAGAGTGTTTTCTTATGCGGCTACTTCAAATTTATTTATTTATTTATTAAAAATGATGAGCCCCACCATATTTTTGTGTCAGTTGGAGATGGGAGAGCTGTCTCCTTACATGAGAGACTCAAACCCCATCATTTATTGGTGTCAAGTGCTCCTTTACTCAAGTGAGTATATATTTGAATTATAGGATATCCATCCTCATTTTCTCACAATTCCTCTCACTCTTTTTTACTTTATATCTAGCCCAACCTTCTAAATCTCAAACCAATCATTCGAAAAGTACAAAATTCTCTTTTCTTCTATTTTCCTTTATTCAAATTGTACTTACATAAAATTAAGACTAGTGTATTACCCCTGCGATGCACGACAGAAAAAGATCAAAAAATTTGTCGGGCGCCGTAATTGGCAATCGCAATGCAAACCTTATACTTACAAAAAATTGTGTTGCTATTTCGTTCTATTTTTCATGTGGAAAAAACTACAACATTGACACAACACTTTGTAAATATCAACAATAAAAAAAAATATGTTATTCAAAGTGATCAACTATTATGCAAATCAAATATAGTTATCTACTCGATAAGTTATATAAAAAATAAATATGTCATTGTGGACTATGTTAACATGAGGATGGCTAAAAAAAAAATGCATACAACTTATTGCTAACTATAACAGCCACCAATAAAATCAAGGTACTAATCAGACCAAGCAAATATGGAATTAAAAGATCAGTTTGTACCTATAATAAGAAAACGCTATTAATTCAGTGTCATTCCGTAGCAATCATTGGAGGGATGAGGTCAACACATACCAAACATGTGTGTTCTGCCTGAGGCAGAGATGTCTAACCGGAGGTTAGATGATTGATGTTGGATCTAATGTTTTCTCTCTAGATACCTATGAATTAGGTATCTTGGGACAGCGAATCACGACACACGATATAACGGCCTTGGCCAAAGGGGTGTGTGTGTGTACTGTGTGATTGCATAAATAAGGTTAAAAGAGATCAGCCATACCTGTGGTCTTTAGCTCCTACTTATAGAGTTTACCTTTGGGATTGCGTTACCTGGGCCTCCCATGGACATGGGCCTCACTCAAGTCCATAACAGTTGCCCCCCAGCCCGGTAGAATGAGTACTCAGAGTGCCCGGATGTCCGAGTTATGATTTTCGACGTTTTTACCTCAGTTCGTCGTTACCCCAACTTTTACTTTGAAACTCTTGATTTGACCAGGAGATGGATGAAGTTCTTCGGGTTATCTCGAATATGAGCTCTATCTGAGGTGAACCAGCCTGGATGTGATACGGGTTCCTTTTTTGGTTGCTAAATCCCATGCCGACCTAAATCAAACTAGTATGCGTTTTTCATTTTTTAAACGTGTCTTTTAATACTAGTTTCTTTTTCCTGTTCTAATTATGCTTGTTTGACTTTGCAGATTGTCAGATGGATTCTGCCGTGCACGAAGTACCTGACTATGTGTTGTCTCTTGCAGAAGGTCGAGTTATATGCTTTCAAGGTGGCCTCACTATTGAAGCCTTACTCTCTGCTGTTGGAGAAGCGTTAGAGATTTATGCTGAGAGGGACGCACTCCGGGTTGATAGGGATGCACTCCGAGTTGATAGGGATGCACTCTGGGTTGACCGTGACAAGGCGGTTCAGGAGAATCAAAGTTTGACAGTTGTTGCTGCAGAATTGAGGTCATCTTTGGAGCAATCCAAAGCCGACTTGAAACTTGTGTCGGATTCTTTTGGCCTTGATGCTGACAAAGTGGCCCTCATTAACTACTTCAAAGAGAAATTAGCCTCGCTGGCAGAGAAGGAATCAAAGGCAACAACTTTGGCTTTGGAAAATGATAAACTGAAATCTGACCTTCAAAATTTGCAGTCTGACTATGATCTTAGTCAGACCGCATTGGAGAAAGTTGTTGGTTCTGCATTTAATAACGCTGTAAACCAAATGAAGTATTTCAACCCCGAAGTGATACTGATCAACTAGACTGTTTTGGTTACATTCAAGATGGAGTCTTTATCCCTCCTCAAGTTAACCCAAATTTGGTAGCAATTGAGGATGTCATTGTTAATCTGGAATCTGAGGCCGCTGGGCAGCAACTTGAGGCTCAAGTTCGGGAGATGTTTCGGAGTGACCATTAATTAACTTGAATGAAGAGCCGGGATGCCGGTTTATTTTGTAATAGCTCTTTCCTTTTTCTTTTGATTCGTTGATGCCGGTTTAATTAGTAAAGACTCTTTTCTTTGATTTGTGACAAACACCGTATGTGTTGTCATGCCATGTGCGCACTTTAACTCATCATTAATTGATTTTCGAATAGCTTATTAACCTAATCAGGGTCATTTATGCTATTTGGTATTTTGCTTTTAGCAATATTTTTGCTTTTATTCGCGAAGACTCGAAAAAGTTTAAGGGCGTCCCCTTATTTTCCAGGTTTGTATTGTTCCTGGCTAGAGCTCGCGAACTTGCTCTTTTGGCAAGACGGGTTCAATTACCTTGGCCTTTGTGCCTGCCTAGAACTCGCGAACTTGCTCTTTTGGCAAGACGGGTTCTATTACCTCGATCTTTGTGCCTAGCTAGAACTCGTGAACTTGCTCAATTAGCAAGACGAGTTATATTACCTCGATCTTTGTGCCTGGCTAGAACTCGCGAACTTGCTCTTTTGCAAGACGGGTTCCATTACCTTGGCTTTATAATAAACATCAGATTTCTGAAGTAAACATTCGTTTTATTCGACTTACTCATAACTGAGTTTTGAAATTACAATGTAAAATTCAAATATTCTTCTGTCTTTTAACTGAAATATTTCTTTAACTTGTCTGCATTCTACGTTCTTTTAATATTCTTCCCTTGTGGAGTCTCCAACATATAGGCTCCTTTTGACAACTTTTCTTTTACTTTGAATGTCCCTTCCCATTTTGGAGCTAACTTTCCTTCAGCCGTATTTCGTCCCCCGATGTCTGCTCTTCGAAGAACCAGGTCTCCTACCTCAAACGATCTAGGCTTCACCTTTTTATTGTATCGGCTTGCGACGAGTTGCTTAGCCGCAACGTTTTTATAATGAGCCATAACCCGAGTCTCATCTATCAAGTCTAGCTCCACTGCCATCTTTTTGTTGTTTTCTTCTTCCGTATATGCTAATGCCTAAACTCTCCTCCAGGATGGTTCCCCTAACTCCACTGGAATCATAGCTTCGCATCCATAGGTCAACCTAAATGGGCTTTCCCCAGTAGACGTCTGCATCCTGGTTCTGTATCCTCAAAGTACATAATACAACTCTTCTACCAATTTTCCTTTGGCAGACTGCTCTATCTTCTTTCTCAGCCCTTCTACAATGACCTGATTAGCCGCTTCTGCTTGCCCATTTGTTTGGGGATGCTCTACTGATGCAAGTCGATGTCAGATATGAAGGTTCGCCATCAACTCTTGAAAGTATTTACTTGTGAATTGTGT